TTGCACATGCATTGCTTTTACAATGAAAAGCGCCAATAAAGAAAAGTACTGGTGTTTTCATTCGGCTCTGAAATGCATCAAAAGATAGGATGGGCTGGTGGACAGAGGTGTGACAGAGCAAGTACCGTAAGACGCAGACTCCAGACTCTGGGTTCTCTGCGTGTTCTCTGCAAAACCCTCAAACTCTGCTGTATGTTTCATAGTTTCATAATAAAACACTGGAGGAAAACACCCCAATAAAGATGGGAAGGAAAACAGTCTAGCTTTGAGGGGGCAGAGTTTTACCACGGACCTTCCTGGGAGCCCTCTCCGCCTCAGGCGTCCCAGGGGGAAAGTGAGTCTGGGCCCCAGCCCCGTTTCATGGTTCCTCCCTTCCTCCCCACTTATGGATGATTCCTATCCCTGGGGTGCAGTAACGTTACAGATTCCCAATTAGTGTCCTCTGCATTTCCCCCCACTGACTGATACCCCAGCCGGGAGCCCAATGGGTAGGTTACAATTCCCTGGGTCCCCAAAGCTTCCCGAGCCACTGGCTGTGCTCTCCACCTGCACTGGCTCCAGGCCAGAGCAGAGGTGACAGAGATATAGGAAGGGAGCCAGGAATGGAGAGAAGGCCTGAGGTTTGCTCGACTTGCCCCTCTTTTCATACTGGATGTCACTAGGGGAAGACATAGGAGGCACAGGGTGGTTCCTTTTCTTATCAAGGACTCTGGCTTGAGCACATGAAGGTCAGATGCATCTTCTTAGAAACAATCAATTACCATTCGCACACAGTGCGGTGTTGCGCCTCACCAGCCAGCCTGGGGCTGCAGCACCAGGCCTGGAAGCCCATGGGACAGGGGAGCTCAGGGCTGGGGCCCTGACAGCCTGGGGAAGCCAGTGGCACCCACACCCGGTGCGGTGCCCAGGGAGCAGTATTCTTCCCACAGCGGAAGGCAGGCGGTACAACAGATCCGGCCACAGGCCTGAGCAGGTTGAGTAAAACTTCCTGTCCCAATCCCTGGGGCCCGGGAGTCAACAGCCCCCAGATGTCCGTGGGAGCTCAGCAGGGGAGTGAAAATGGCTAGGGCTGACGGTTGGCTATCAAATAGCTCCTCCAAGTCTTCCATACACTTCTTGTGGGAGGCTGCTGCCTGCTGTCAGGAGCCTCGAGGCACAAAGCCGAGGACCCTGGGCCTGGCACAAATTGAGGCCACCAGGGACACAAACGTCCTTTGATGTCCCCAGAGGAGGGGCCTCAACTGATGCTGGTTGATGAGAAAACAGGAATGAAGCTGTGCTTTCTGCCTTTTTCTTATTGGCTCCCGACAACCCCCCCCCAGCCCCCCTCCACTCCCTGCCCCACCAAGTCCCTGATGCCCTGTGCAAAGCCAGGGTCACTGCCCAAGAGGGAGTTTAGAAGTGTCTGGTCTGAGTGGGAGTGGTGCTAAGTGATGCCAATATCTGTCCGTCCAAATGGATCAGGGAGCCAAACGAGAGACAAAGCTCTCTGGCACCACAGTGGGAGAGGGTGACACCAGGGCAGGGACTGGGGTTGGGGGGTGGCTGCATACTTCTACTCCTGCCTTGAGATACGGGGTAGAGGGGCACTCTGACAGCTGCTATTTGTCAAAGCAAGATGTAGGAGGAGGAGAAAAGGAGGCTTCATTTCTTTGGGGCCAGCTGTATGCCAGAACTTCACAGAAACATCTCAATGAGTCCTAAAGACCCTAAGGGAGTCTCTGCATCAGCTCATGCAGCTGGTAAGTGGCCATGACTCCCAAGACAAGTTCCACGTGGCCACCTTACCTCCCTTCCTTAAAAGACCAGATGATGGAGTCTCTTCCCTTGGGGCAGGAAAACACCACCCATCTCACCCACAACTTCAGATCTTCCTCTTCTTGTGACTGTGTGCACGCAGGGGCTCCGGCGGGGGGGTGGGGGGGGTGGAGGAACCTAGGTGTAGGGCTGCCATGTGGGGCTTGGCTGCCCCGTGGAGTGCTGGCTCCACGCTCCCCAAGGGACTGCCCGAACGGCTGGTCTGGCGGCATGGAGGGGGCAGGAAGGCCCAAACAGCTACTGATCCCTTTCTGCTGGCAGCCTGGAGGGAAAGCTGAAGTTGGTGCAGCTCGGAGCCAGCAGCTGTGAGCAGGACGATACATAATGCATTTCTTCTGGTGCTTAATGGCAGTCAAAGCCCTGGCGGGAAGGAAGGTAGGAGCCAGAGGGAGAACCCTTAGCAAATGACGCAGAGACACTGGCCCCACCTCCTGGCCTCATTTCCTGCCCAGGTGCAGCAGAGCCTGGTCTCCTCAACAAGGGCAGAGCTGCTGGCCCAGTCTCCTGGGGGACAGGGAGGAGCAGTGCCATCGGCGCCGGTTTTGCCGGCTCCCTTCTTGGGGAATCTCCAGGAAAAGGGGAAACTTGGAGCAGAGGGTTCCCCTCCCAGCAGTGGCATCCCCACCCCAACGCCCAGACTGTGGAGCACGCTCCAGTTGTTCTGGTGGGCTGGGCTGCAATGATGGTGGCCAAGAGGGGGCAGCCAATAAAGCTTGCGCCCGGAGGGCTTCATCCCTACTGAGGCTCCCCACGGCGACCCAGCTCAAGTCTCTTCTGTTACTACCCGATTCTGATTTCCCCACTGCGGCAAGCCCCTGTGGGTCTCCTGCCCACGGGTTCCCTGCTCTCCCAGTGGCCCTCCGGTCACCAGCCCTCTTCCCGTAGGAGGGGCACCAGGACCGACACCTCCGAGTCCGGCACTGCCGAAGCATCTAACGGTAGACACTGCCAGTGCCCCACTGGGCTGGGCACACTCAAAGGCCAGGACCTGGCTCCCCCAGGCCTAAGAAAAGGCATTTCCATGCCAACCACAGGCTCTCAGCAGGGACACAGGCCAGATAGGCACCATTTACACAAGTCTGCTGCCTTGGGGTAAACTCGAAGGAGGCATTCCTGCCTTTTTAGGGAGTCAGATTCCCTCTCCATTAAAGAAACTTTGTGTGGCATGCAGCATTTTAAGAGCCCTAAAGTCGGGGGCAATGACTTTTGGCGGAGAGGGGGGAAGAGGGTTGTTAGGACCTTAGAAGCAGAGCATGGGTCCAGAAGAAGAAAGAAAGAGAAGAAAGAAAGCTGAGGGGAGACAATCTCCTGAAGCTATTTTGATAGCAACCAAGCTCTCCTTAACACTGCTGGCAAAGGAACCTGAAACCCCCCAGAATCTACCAGGGCCAAGGACTCCTGGCTAGTCTTGGAATGTGGGCCCCCTAAACTTTCCACTGACAGCTGGCCATCTGTCACGCCCCCGACAGTATTATGGTTCTATTTTGTTCATAGCAAAATCAAGTGCCCCATCCAATCTCAAGGCTCGTACTGCTAGCTGAGCAATGTGAAGGTCAAAATTTAAGTGCATATTCTTTTTTTTTCTCTAATGTTTATTTATTTATTTTGAGAGAGAGGGAGCGCGCAAGCAGGGAGGGGCAGAGAGAGAGGGAGACAGAGAATCCCAAGTGGGCTCCGTGCCACCAGCACAGAGCCCAATGTGGGACTCGAACCCAAGAATCATGAGATTGTCATGACCTGAGCTGAAATCGAGAGTCGAATGTTTAACTGAGCCACCCAGGAGCTCCTTGAGTGCATATTCTTGAGGGTGAGTTCCCTGGTCTCAGAACCACAAATAGATGTTGCACATAGAGAGAAATTAAAGGGCCATTCAAGCTCACTGCATTTATCCACAAAAGTGGGTCCCCCCAATTCCTCCCTCATCTCCCAGGGGTCCTGAGCTCAGAGCCACCCGTGGATGAGGAGAAGGATGGAACATTCAGTGCTCTGGGGCCCTGCACCCATCCTACACCCTCAGCATGGGGCAACTACTCACAAGCCTTCCCAGCCAGGTGCTTGCCCTGGGAGCACCAGTTACTGGCCTGCACATTTCTCTTGAGCACTGGGTGAACCAGTTAATCTAGTCTTGCCTTTCTTAAATTTTTTTTTTTAATCTGGCAGGCCGCTACTGGAGGCTTTCCAATCCACAGCTCAGGCCAACCCTCATAATAAGAAAAATACTACTTTCTATCTGCCTCATTTAGGAGGTTTCTACTTTTTTTCCTTTGGTGGTTAACTAAATTTCATCTTACATAACCGCTGCAAATTTTCTAGAAATTTCCCCAATTAGTGCCAGCAATTACGGAAAGTGTGTGTGTGTGTGTGTGTGTGTGTGTGTGTGTGTGTGTGTGTGTATACACACGAGAAATCTCCAGGGGAGTGACCAGGAGTTCTGGTGAATCTTCAAAAGGAAACAGCACTTTTCTCTCTATTCACTAAGAAAGCCTCATCTTGCCTACTTTCCAGAAGATTCTGAGAGCTCTATACTTCACAGATTAAAGAACGTAAAGAAGTCTTCTCACATTTCTTTTGAATAGAAAAGATAAAGTGAAGTTGGTGGGGATGATGAGAGATCAGGCGTAAAACAGGTTATTGGCAAAACCAAAGTAAACACCCAGATGTCCTGACCTGGGACTTTGGCCTACGGTCCCTGAAATGCCTGTGCTCTGTGTGCGCTAGAATAGGCCCTAGACAAGTTCTGGAGACTCCCACTCCA